GGCCGGGTTGGGCCGGGCTGGGCTAGGCAGAGCCGCGCTGGACTGGGCTGGGCTGGGCGACGGCGGCAGCGGTCCCCGGCAGCATGGGCGGCTCTGCCTCCAGCCCGCTGGACGAGAGCAAGTGCACCTACATCCGAGGTAGGACGGGGCTGCGCGGGGCAGGGGCCGAGCAGGGCCGCTCGCGGTGGGGGAGGAGATCCCCGGGGACGAGGGGTGACCGGCACACTGCGGGGCTGCCCCGAAGGCGGGCAGCGGCCGTGGGCTTCCGTGCGGACGGCAGCGCGTTAAAGATTCCCCGTGAGTCAGTTAAAAACTCCGAAAGGTGCAGAGAGATGCGACCTGGAACTGGCCGTGTGACACTCAGGTCCCAGTTCCCGAGCACCAGGTTTTGCCAAGGTAGATCGGGTCAGGAGCGTGTGGTGGCATGTTTTGCAAAGCACCTTGAAGGCAGTGAGAAAACTGCTCGGTGGGTACTCAGACTTGTGTGAGGACAACTTCTTATGCCATTAAAACATTACTATTAAACTACGAAGGAAAAGAGCATAATTCTGTATTTTGGGGGCTGTTTTTATTATTTGAGTAGTTTAAAGAGCAAATACATCTTGCTCTTGCCTGCCTACCTACACTACTTACCGGTAAGGTAGCAGGTAAAGTATTTACAAAGCAAATTTTAAGGCTGACTGTTTACAAGCGAAATAGAAGTTTGCATGTGAAAAGGAGGCCCTGTTCCAGTATATTATGTATTATGCATCTGAAGCCTTCGAGAGTCCTCGCTGCTGTGGGCTGGGTGATCAAACTCGGCGCTGATGATTCAGACCGTGGGGTGACTCCTGGGTGGTGCTGCAGCCCAACTTGTCCTTTTATTATGTTGCTTTGGGATTTTTTTGTGGTGTAGAGGGAGTGCAACTGTTGAACTGCTCCTCTGTTGGGACTCCTGAAATCACAGTGGATCTTTCAAGAGATTCCCACAGTGGGAAAGATGTCCAAATATTAAATGGCCTTCATCCAAAAAACAATCAGCAAAGCTTCTGGCCTCACATGTGGAGATTTTGCTACAGTGTTCCCTCAGTATTGTCCTTTTCTCCTGCCTCATTGAAAGTGGTTTCAGGTCCCTTCAGAACCATGAGGGTGCAAATCCTATGGATTTTTTTCTCTACACTTAAGCCCCATGTTGCAGCCAAAATTGCATTGCCACAGTTCAGCATTTCAGGCTTTCTGATGCCTGACTGAGTGAGAGCAATTTGTGAGTGCCTGGAAAGGCACTCTAATTACTGAAAAAAAAAAAAAAAAAAGAAATTACTGAAAAAAAAAAAAAAAAAAAAGGCAAAAAAAAATCAGGAGATTCAGGGAGTTTATTAGCTTCTTCACAGCTGTGCAAGAGGAAATCATGCAGGTCTTTGCCCTGAACATGATCTAGAATTGGAACAGGGAGTTCATGCCAGAGGGTTGGGAAATCTGTATGTTAGGACACATGTGAAACTGGATTGATACATCTGAGATTCCCTGTAGCTCAGCAGGAGGGTGCCTTTGCCTTGCTGAGATGTGTGGCTCTTCAGACACATCTCTAGTTTGCCTATCACGTCTTTGCAGAGGCAAGTGATAAAACCATTGTGAAAAAAGGAATTAAAACATTGTGCTTATCCCCTGGCACAAGTCTGCCATTCTTGCTGTAAAGTGAGGATCCCCCACTCTAAACTCTTGCTTTGAAAAATAATTAATGAGGCACTTTGTACAGAGCCTGCCCATAAATTAGTAATTCCAAGAAGGAAAAGGAATTGGGAATAGGATTTTTAATTGGAATAGAGTGTGGTCCAGACAGCTTGCCAACCTACTGCTGATGTTGAGGCTGGAGCCTGCAAGATTCAGACCTTGCTTATCTGTGTTATGTGTCTTGGTCTGATGTATTTCCAGAGCAAGTGCCATGGTGAGCTCTCCTCATACAAAGAGGAAGTGGCTGAATTGCTGATTCTGTAGATTGAATAAGCAGCACATTTTTTTATCTGGCTTTGTAAAGGTTAGGTGGGTTTTACTGGGGGGCTGGGAGCTTTGGGGTTTTTTATCCTCCAGAGTTGATAAAAGGGTTTCCTCAGTAAAAAGGGAGGGGAGATGCCAGCTTTTTGTCAGTACAACCGTCAATCCATAGTGCTTGAATGGGAAGGCACTGGTGAGGGAGGATGTGAGACAACAAGCTCAAGGATGATGCCTCACACATCTTATTCAAACTGAAGCCAGTGACATTCTCCAAACTTTGTGCATTTTGGGATGCTCACTCATACTGGTGCAAATATCAGTAGACTCAAGACAGGAAATCGCGAGTATTACTTCAAGTGAGAGTTTGATCTAGATCATCTCTAGTGCTCCCTTCCAACCAGTGTTTCGGTAAACAAATTTATACTTGCAATCTGTATGTCCTGGATTCAGCACTAGCATTTTGCACCTCCTTTTGCATAGCTTGGTGGATGGCTCATGCCCCCATCTCCTTGCCTTTGCAGCAGAAGCTTTTTGTGATTGAACACTGGCATCCTTTAAGTTAGTTCCTGCCACTCTAACCTCAGCCTACGGCAGAGAAGATGATTTGGATGGCATGTCAGCTCTGCAGCATGCTGGGCTGCTCCCTGCAAGGGGGGCCATTAGGCAAAACTGTGTGGGGCAGAGTTAAAACATGACTGCTTGAATGTGTAGCAGGATTGCTTCATGGCTGTTGTCATGATGGTGTAATTTAATTTCTTGTTGCCATAATGATAATTTAATTTGTCTGAAGCTGCCAAGTCCGTGTTGTAAAGCCTTGTAGTTTATTTAGACAATATTTAAACTAAAACACAATATAATGAATGGAAACAAGGGACCGAGGACTAAAGAGGTGGATGGAGTTCTTAGCAATAAACTGGTACGGTTTCTTCATCAACATACGTACAAATCTACAGGTTTTCTAATTTCCAAGAGTCTGTTTGTTCACATTGTTTGTGGGATGAGAGGAGAACAAAAGAGGGACAAAAATTATGTGAGATGTAAAATAATGTGAAAAATATGTAAAAACGTGTAGGTGTCGATATAAAGTGGCAAGAATATGGCCCTCAGCACAGACACCCCCAGGTAGGGCCCAGGAGACGCTTTGCTCTGTGCAGTTCTGCTGGGTGAATAAGCACAAGCCTGGTTAGACCAGTTGGAGAAATAAATCCCGGAGAAAATCACAAAGGTGTCCTACACAGAGTCTGTGTTACTGAATGCAAAGGCTGTGATTGCTACCTAAACCTACTTCAACTTCTGTGCTCTTAAGGAAGAAGTGGTAGTATTGAACCAGCCAAGTTGCAAATCATTGAGAGCTGTGTATAGGTGGACATGGGGCATTATCTTGAGCCATAACTGAAAGTCAGCTAAAATATTGATTGACCTGGTAACGTGTGTTTCCTGCAGCAAATAATGCCTAAGAAGAGAATATATGATGCCAATGTGTAATTTTTCAAGTGGTCTTTTCAATATGATACACGTGAGGCTGTGTTTGAAATTGCAAGGGTGGGGATCATCCTTGTGAGGTTTGAATCAGGGACAGGTACTTCACAAGCCGCCTAAAGACATATTTGGGGATGGCAAAGTTTTGCAAAACAATTTTTTGCCTCAGAAAATCTTTGCATTAATATATGCATACAGCATGAAGTTACATTTTGCAAGCTATCACAAAATCTTTTGTCTTTTTCAAGTAGAAATTAATGAGAATTGGTCATTATTGTCAGATGAAATTGTGAATAAAATGTCAACACTTGCTATTCCTAACTCCTACCTGAAGGAAATGAATGATGCAGTGAAATAATGGAAAAATGAGTCAGCAGGAACTCCTGTGAGAGCTGGGGGCAGCTTGTGTCCACTGGGAGAAGCTGGGTGGAGGATATTTAGGTGAGAGTAGGAGGCCATGGAGTGCCAGCAAGAAGGAGTAGAGCAGAAAGCCAGACCACATGCACTTCAGCATTACTAGTCTTGAAACCTTAGCAGTTTCAAAGGTGCCCTCTGTTCTGTGTACCATGAGCCTGTTTTTCTAACTGTATCTATGGAAAAATATTTTTTTCTGTTTATTTAAGGTCCTTAAATTATTTGAAATACACACATAAACAGATTGAATGATTTAGAATAGAATGATTTAAAGCCCCCTGAAATGAAATTTTTATAATAATTCTTTTAGGTTTTGGACCAAGCCCTTAGAAAAGAAGGAAAGACTTGTGGCAGAGATAATCCTTCTTTGGATTTATTCGGGATGCGAGTGAAATAGATGAAGTTTAAAAAAATGGCAGTAATAGGAGACTGGGGGTTGATCATGTGAAAAGAGTTTATTAAAAAGATTCATGCTTTCAGTTTGATGAGGCATGGGCTAAACTTGTGATGGGAGGTGTTCATTGCATGATCTGTCTAATGCTATTTAATGAGTGTTGCACGCAACAGGGAGAGGTATAGGGCGGTAGTGGGGAGTGATGGACTCAGGGTGCGATCATTAACTTGGGTAAAAAGATGAAAGTGCCTGTTAACACAACTTAGTAGTATGCCTTGAGAGATTGCGCCAGAGGTTTCAAGATTGCTGATAGAAATTTTTGCTTTGGATCTCTAATATTAGACAAGAAACAATCAAGGAAGCAAATCTCACAGTGGGGAGAAGGCAGAAATGGCCCCGAGACTCTTCATGATTTCCCGTTTCTGCAATCTCAGCAGCAGTAGTAGGGGACCAAGCTCTGCTCTGTCACATGTGGTCTGTTGGGACCAAATGTTTTTAAACTTGGAGAGGTGGAGAGATTTCAAACACCCAACACCAGTAATTTCAACAGGTACATCTTCAAAAGAGTTTAGCATACAAAAAATTGAACTTCTCTACAGGTTGTTTTTTTATTAAAGGTTCTCATCACGCTTGACCATATCCAGTCTACCCATTTCTGTAAATATAAAGCTGTCCAGAGGATAAAGCTTTGTAGTCATTTGCTGTTGATTTGTCTGTTTAAATGCAGTTTTCCTTCCTTCCTTCCTTCCTTCCTTCCTTCCTTCCTTCCTTCCTTCCTTCCTTCCTTCCT